CTATATCGTTAGTTTTCTGCATAAAGAAAAGTCGATCTAGAAAATAGACGGAACACTGCGTTATGATTGAAGAGAAATATTTATCAGAAATTATTTGAAATACAAACAATCAATGGTAATCCTTACTGAAATATAATTTGGAACTGACAAAATGAAACTCATCAATAAACAAACGAAATTGAGTAATTCGACAATGATGCATGATAATGATGGCATTTTACTTATACACTGTTGGATTACGAAGCTACGAATGCAGTAAAATAAAAATTCTTGAATAGTTCGATCATTACCAACTAAAAATACATGCAATGCAATTGATTGTACAGAATCTATCAAACAACGTTATAAATTATCATAATAATTTAATCATAACAATGGTAAATTTTTCTCATAATCACGATGCTACACAAATAACGATATTAAATAAACTACGCACAGAAACCAATCAACAATTACAAGGTTATGACCTGGTGTACCGAACGATCAAATTGAATCACAATACAGGATGTATATTCAGCAACAACACATTACAATTTTAGCGTGTAGAAGTATTTCTTATCGTCAGGAACAAAGTATGGAAATCATCCACAGAAAACAATCGATAATGAAAACGAACAGAATTTTAGGTGTGTGAAATGAAGACAGTTAAGTGACCACTTCTCAATGAAGGAACATAGAAAAAGATATAAATTGCAAGCAAATGATCAAAAGGGTTTCAGCAAACGAAGACGGATCTGTTTCATTGACGAACCCAAAACACTTTTCATCATTTCGCAGCAAAACTACACCGATCTCCTCATCTATCAAGCTCATTTTTTAATTGACGGGTTCATAAAATTGAGCGCAATGCTCGTTTAGAATTATCTCAAATCCACGATAAGAAGACAAGGATGGAATCATTCCTGTGTGTTACGGTAAAGTTTAGATGTAATTTTTCTCGGGAAATTTCAAGAGAAGCGAGCGAGTTCTTTCCAAATGAAATGAAAATTCAAAAGAAGAAATTCAGCTGCCTTCGATAGAAATTCCTCGCTTCGATCGAATAAGCTGCGCTGATGAATGCTTATATTCGTGAATTCAATGAATTTGTGAATGAATTGAATTTCTGCTTTCATCTGTGCGTTAATTCAAACTCATATTTTTGAAGAGAACAATACATACATGTTTGCGATGTTTGTTCATACACTGATGCTTAAAAAATTGAAATTTCTTTCTTCCCATTCAAAATTTCTCAACTTAATTACGGAAGAATTTGAAAGTAGTTCTAGAAGAGCCAAATATCCCACTAAATTCTGCAAATCAGAACATTCCACTCCCCTATAACTGAATTCCACGCATCAATTCTGGGTGAGAGCATTCATCAGAATCAGTGAACCAATACCTCCACATGATCAATAGCCATTACACAGTCATTCGATCCAACATTAATTCGAACGCAATTGATTACAATCAACAAGACAACAACAACAAAAACAACATTCATAGAGATCGTAAACAAAAATTTTGAAGAAACGAATATGAATGAATGAAAATTTCGTAATTGATGGTAAAATTAAACAGTTGCATGAACGGACCAAATCGATAGAAGAATAATTATTGTAAATAGTGAAAACAAAAATACGAGGAAACCACGACGACAATATTAAACAAAACAATCGCACTATCAATAAAGATGAACAATGAGAATAATCGCAACAAACTCAATCATTTCAAACAAAATAATGATAATAATCTCAGACGAACGCATAACATCAAATACAATTATCTGATTTATACGTCTTACACAATATTTATAAACATTCTATATAATAAAAATATGACAGCAATAACAAAAAAACGCCGAATGTATTAATAACCAATATCAGACCACATTTCTTCCTTTCATGTCAACAACATCCTATCATATGCAATCCTGATTTGTTTCTGTCCATACCGATAAGTTGATAAGGTCATTCCAAACATTCTCTTTGGGATATGACCAACAAAACAAAATAACAACAATTATAATAATTATAATCATATGAAGTCCTGACGAAAATAATGAAAATATCTAAAATTTCAACCAAACAACAAGCATTTCACGACAAATTACAAGAACAATCAACGCCTTAACTCACTTAATGCCTTTTTTCCGATATTGCGAAGGAAATCCTCTCACTTACAATGTAAAAAACTGAACGAAATCCGTGTTTCCATCGGGTTTCCTTAGCAATGTCGAAAACCTAGTAGGAACACTACTGGATGAAAGCGTATCCGGAGCTTGAACGTAAGGCTGAGGCCGGACATTAGCTTGAATTAAGGTTTTAGACTAAGACTAAGCCTCAGATCAGCTTGATCCAGTCCAAATTTTTCGGTTTTTGATAATTCTACATTAGCTGCTTTCATCGTGGTATTTAATGTAGGTAAACGAATCTTTCGAAGACGTTACTGTCATTATTATAATCAATGTGAAACAATGAGTAGACGCATATAAAAATAACACCAAACAATTAATTGCATTATATACCAAATCAAAATAATGAATAAAATTGGCCAAACAATGATTACAGAGAAAGAGAGAGGAGAATAAGTACGAAAAACAAAATGAAAAACGGGAAGGTTGAGGTAATTGAAAAGAGTTATAAATTTTTTTTGAAACAAAACGTAACGTCACAACCTCCGGAAAATTCTACTTGAGAGTTTTCCTCAGACCAAACGAATTTGATTCATATTCTCGCTGTGCTTTACGAATAAAAATCGCTGAGCAAATCTTGATCCAAGATGTTTTTGTCTAATGTCAAAAATTCATGTCAAAATTTTTGCCGCAGCTAGTCGCATATCAATTCCCTCGCATCCCTACTACTAATCTAGAAGCCGAATGATTCCAAATGGACTGAAAATGTAATTCTTTCAAAAAGATTTCGAGTAGGGATCCATATTCCAAATCTGCTCTTAATTCCACAACAAACATAAGTTCAAAACACATTAATATTTTTCAAAACAGCATTACATATCATTATCATTGTTAGTGCTATCGTCACCAGTTGCCAAAGTTGCGCTACGAGCCTTTGAAACGGCTCTCAGCAGGTGTTGCAGAGGTGCAGCAGGCCTGCAATACGAAACTATTCTTCATCATCATCGAACATCTTCACAATTTTACGGTTTCTGAGAGTCATTCGAACTAACTTAGGATCTTATTTCAAGATGATCAAGGAAGAATAAGAGCAATATCGTTCTGATGGGTGGCTGCAAAATAATACTTCATTATGAACATTAACATTAGTTGAGCATTACAGTGAACAAGAAATTACTAACGTATTCAATGGTAAATTCATTTGTTCATCAGTATCAGTCGTGTGTGTTGCATCATTTGCCGTTGCATTCTCAAGAATTTTATTCGCTTCCATTTCAGAACATTGCATTAACTGTAATTTCATTAGTTCTTTGGGCATTTCCATTCTTTGTTGAAGCCTCAGTCTGAGGCTACTTGTGCATAACCCGACGTTTTTTTTGATGAACAATTTAACTAAATTCACCAATGAGTTCTCAAATTTCGAGAAATAATGATATGCATGAGGTAAGTGGATAAAAATTCGACAGAAATGGACGAATTTACTTCAGATATTGCATAGACCAAAGCTTCAGGTAGTGCTACAGATACGACGTAATGCAATCGACGAGTAACGGATTTTTCAGATGCTTTGAATTGTCTTATCCAACCTTCCAGAACATCCATCAGTCGAATCACATCTTCGTTTGGTATTAAATTACCTTGANTTCCAAAACAATCAATCACTTACCGCGAAAATTCAATGGGAAAATGTTCCACCAACGTTAAGAAGCGAAATATTTTTCACCAACGTAAAGAAGTGAAATATTTTTCATCAACGTAAAGCCTCAAAATTCAGTCATCCCCTAATCCACCTTACGATGAAAAAAAACTGATTCCTCAACTTAAACGCTGCCTGCACTTTCATACCAATAAAACATTCACTTCTTTGACATCGCCTCAAAAAATATTCTCAACATATGAAAAGCATCCAAAAGAATTTCAACAGCATCATCTGAATAGCTAAATAAGTCACAGAAAGTAATAACTGACAGTGTTCGGTAGGCACATGCCCACCGTAATCATTTGTGACTGATGCAAAATAATGAAAAAAAAAGAATGAATGCACAAAATCAATCCAATACGCACCAATTTGTACTTGAAATTGCAGTGGTGTATGCGTGCTAAACCGTTGTTCGTATTGCGCGTGTCTATTCGACTGTTTCATTTTGATCCAAATACTCAATAAATGTTTACGACAAGATTGTGATATACAACGTTCGAATAACTCCTCTCCATTCAACAATCCCAATGAAGGTACTCTCTTCTCCTCTTGTTTCATATCGTCTGGAAGCGCCGCTCCCTCCGATATCTCTTCGGCGTTCACGCGTTCAACTTCCATTTTTTCATCATCCTCCTCCTCCTCCTCCTCGTCTACTTCGCAATTGTTTCCTTCTTCCGCTTCTTGCTTTAAATAACAACCGTTTTGTGCTGGCGATGGTGTTACATCTGCAAATGAAGTTGCTCGTCGTGAAATCCACTTAAAAAATGGACAAACCGATATTGGATCAGAGCAAATTTGAACTAAAGCACAATCGTACCGCATCAATTACTCACCATTTTGTGTTGATGTTACGTCTGCCTCCCCATGAGCATTACTATTATTGTCAACGTTCGCATTATCATTATTAACACTGCTATCAACACTTTGCAGTGGATCGAATTTCCCTTCACAGATCTCATCAGCTTGATTCACTGCCACTTTCAGAGCTTCGTTTGATATGTCCTATCATCAATTCAATCAAAATAAGTCGTCTAATGAACAAATGAAAACACCAAACGTAAACCATCGCATTCTACAAAATCATCCAAACAATCATCATAAAGTGAACAAAATTTGCTTAATCACTGCAATGAAGTACACTAATTGTGGTGAATGAAAAAAGAAGCAAAACTGATAATTAAAAAAATAATTCGATTTCAAATGCGAATGAATTTATTCGAAGTCTAAACAAGTCTTCGCCAATGTTTCCATTCAATACACTGGAAATTTCTTGCTAACAATACGTTTGAATGAAGTTCAAAACAGAATAAAGTGAAGACAGTTATTTGAAAAGATCTGAAATGCTCACTTCTTTATCGACCACCACTGAATCGTAAAGAAATATATCAGCAAGTGGAGCCGTCTGCGTTCTGTAAACAATACGACAAAATGAATCTCTTATCAGCCTCAATCTCAATTAAATTCAGATCACGCTCATCATGCGCTCATATGAAATTTTCATTTTTGACAACCACAGTTCCATTCTCAGTTAGTGTAATCATTAGAAATAACAACAAAAAAGACGTAAGTAACGCACTCGTCTTCGATATCATCGCATTCATCATCCCACGGCAGCTGCAGATATGTGCATGTTTTTTGCGATCGATCAACGCTTAAAACCTGCAATTTCAATTCGTTCACATCAACAATTTTTAACACATTTCAGTGGTATTATTAGGCAGTTGCTTCTATTACTATTATTATCATCTTATTATTATCTTAGTTATTAGCATTATGTTATACTTACCGTTAAACAGTTACCAGTAATGCTATCAAAATCAACGGGAATAATAATTATTATTATTATGATTATTATTATCACTATTATTATTACTTAACTTCTACTATTCCTTCGACATGAAAACATAATTCTATTGAGAATATATATTGGCTGACCATTCTGCTGTTCGTAGAAGAAAAGACAGAAAATGAATTTTAAAAAAACAGTTTGCACGAAACGAACAACAATCGGCCATTTCTCGATTTTGCCACCGTCGTACGCACACTTCACCCACGCGATCTCACCCCTCTTCAGATTCTCCAGTTTCGTCGCCAATTCCTGCTCTAGGTCGCGCATTTCCTCTGAGAACTTTGCTCTCTTTTTTGCAATTCCAGGCATACCTTTTGCGCTGTCTCTATTGGCTCTTTTGCCTAAAAATCACGAACGATGACAAATTTCACATTCGTACGAAAACAAAAATCTACTGAATTGCTGTTCTTGTTGAAGTTCAAGCGATTTTTGTTGATTGTGCGATCTCAAACATCCCGTCAACTCGGGGCTAGCTGTCCGGTGTCAAAATGTGATATGCGCGTTTCAATTTTTCTTCAACTGTATATTAATTATGAAAAATGTTGAAGATGGACAAAATGTTCGTCCAGTAGAGCCCCCATCGTATTTCAGCAGGATGAATCTATTCGTCTCACCATCCATCGTATCATATGAATCTTAAACCGCGATCATGCCACACTTCAGTTCATCACCAAAACATCATCATCAACTCACTTGTGTTGATATTTCCCACTATTTCCTTTTTGATATTCTCATCGCTCGCTTTAACAACATCTTTTGAATCTTCTTTTTCCGGTTCATTTCCACCCTCACCGACTACATCCGCCTTGCTGTCGTCTTCTTGTTCGTCCTCCTTCTTGACCACTTCTTCAGTTTTCCCGTTCTCTTCTGAATGCTGATCATTTTTTTCTGCATCAATCGAATTACTTGTCGTTTCCTTTGTTTTATTCTTGCTTTTTTGTGGTATCGCTTTTTCAGGCGCCTCTCCAGATCCATCAAGTCTATATGCTTGTACTGCTTGCAAGGCTTCTTTCAACTCCGGATTGTGCTCCTGTAAGTAAACACATAATAATAACTGAAATAAAATGACCATGATAATGATAACAATAATAGCAACAAGATACTTCATCACACAAGAACACATAATAAAAATAATACCCTCTTGATAGCAGAAGCAAGTGCACGTTCACTCAGATCAAATTTCTCACAAGCACTCTGAGGGTAACGTTCTGATTTGCCAGTCAACGGGAATGAATCTATCATTACGAGTTTTTTGGTTGCATGACGAATCTGAAATTCATTCACTTTTATACATATGCAGGTTACACCATAAAGGCATTCGTTACAAAATTTGAAAATATTCTATCAACGCAGGACATACATTTTCGCTGCTTGCACAAGTATACCTCATGTCGCGTGTCAGCCAACTGATAATACATTTGAATAGCATTCATTGGTGCGATTGTTTATTTTTCTTATCTCGATCACAACAAATAATATAACTGTTTACTGGTCGCGTCAACTAACAGCCGATTTCTCCCTATCCCATCTGCTCGCAATTCCATTATCTTCATCAACAATGTAGGCTTATTCCACAACCATATCTTAGTCACACTGCCTTCCTACCTCCTTTAATAAGCGGTGTATTCTTTCCCATCTCCATATCATTGTGTTCATACCAACCCGGAGAAGTTGATAACCTTTGCCCTTCTCCTCGGGTTTGACGAAAGATTCGACTGTCACAATTACTTCGCCCCAACTTCGGCTGTTCTCTGATCGCCTCATTTTCAGTTTTGTTCTTTCACGCTTTTCGGTTCGTGTAATCACATTGTAAATGGAAGAAATAATAAATAAATGAACAAACAACAACCAAATGACCAAAACTCACAAGGACTGGCCATGCCGGATGTCCAGCCGAAATAAGCCAAACGATATCGTTAACTGCGGGCGTGAATCTATTCGAAGTGGACGCAAGTGTGTTATTATCACTACTCTCATTATCTGTTCCACCACTCAGCGTTCGTTTGTTGCCATTGGTTATCGAGGAAGCGTTCGAATTCGATTTGGAGCGATGCGAATGTGCTGGTGTTGAGCCTGTTTCTGCATTGCTCACAACTGCCTCTTCGTTTTTGGCCTTCTTTGTCGATGACGATCCATTACCTAAATTCTTACTTTTCCAAACAAATTTCACAGATGCAATCAAACATATCAAACACGCAAGGAACTCTTAGAACAAATTTTTTAAAAGATTCACTTTGTCCTCTCAGCAAAACGAAGCACCACTCAGATAGTAAAACTCATTGTCTCTCAGTTATCTGCTATCAGAGTAAATTAGCTGAGCCTGCCTCACAATTAGTACAGAAGCAGACAATAGAAAGTGAAGGATTTAGAGAAAAAACTGTCAAAATGGAACGACGAAGCAACAACGAACGAGATGCTGAGCTGATAACCGGTCGAGGAGGCGCCATCTGACCTCTTTCTTTGGCCAGTTTCAGTGCTTCTTCAAATGCTTCTTTCATGGCCGCATCCGCATTTGCTGGTAACTGAAATACAGCAGAAATGATCACAAAAATGCTTTTATTTGATTAGTAATTTAAACTTTTCCGTATAGATTCTGTACTTAATAAGGACAAGATGATATCTTTCTATGACAATAATCACATCCGATGGGTATTCATGATCAATCAAAAATGAATGAAAATAGAGAAAAATAAATACGAATTCAGATGATAATAATGAGTAGAACTTACAGTGTCATCTTGTGAAAAGAGGTGAACCTTGCTTGGTGGACAATTAAAGACTGGCGCTTTGAGGGCCTGATCTTCCGGTAGTGGCAAGAACACATAGGTGATTTTCTTTGGATAGATATTACGAACCTGAATGGATAATCAATATGATTTGGTATCAGCATTAATACTGGTGATGCTACGATTACTTCAAGCACAATATCGATCATCAGAACAAGACTAAACGATAGCGAACACACTCACAACGCTCGGCCATTCTGGAGTTCTTCTGTACGGTGCCCACACAATATCACCTGGTCCAATCGCTGAAAAAATACAACGAAGATTGAATACTACCTTCAAATGAAGTCAGCTCGGAACTGATTGCCGAGATTACCTCCTCCTCAATCAATCAAATTTTATGGAGATTTGAGCGATTAGTTCCGAAATCATTTTTCGGAACTAATCAAACTGAGATCATTTCAAACAAATACATTTGAGATTACAATTTTGATTTCATCCTGCTGATCTTTTCGCTCGATGCTTACACTAATATTGTCTTCATCGTTCAGTTTGCTTTCAAAACAATACGAAAAACCGCATCTATAATCTCCTCCACCACATCTAATCCACTGTTCTTTCTTTCGATTCGAAACCAAAATTTCGCTTTCAGTATTATTTCACCAGCACTATTCTTATGTGCTCTATTCAGCTCGTTCCGATTTGAATCTGCACTCAGTTTAGTTTCTTTCCTGCTCACCATCCTGACTGAGTGATAGACAATATTTTCGTTAAACTTCGAACATGTTAGGCACTTGCCAGGTGTGCCGCCAGACTGTGATGCTGCACCAGCGGTTGATGCTCTTCTGACCATTTCTTGACGTCGATCGTATGCCACGAATCACTCGATCAATTCACTGATTGTTTCCGATTATATTTCAAGCTGCTATAACAAAATCAACTGCTTCAACAAAAACAACTTCTTGCCGACAAAACAACGCTAACGAACACTGCCCGATCGTAATGTATTTATAATCAATATACTGAAAGAAACGTGACACACCCTAACAAATCAAAACATTCGACAAATACTGTTAAAATGGTTTACGTATTTACATACTATTTAAATTTTACATATTCAATCATCATCTCAACAGTGTTACCGTCGTTTCCGGATAACAATTCTAGATATCAATATTCTTCTAGTTTGGACGACGACAGCCTTCCACGCTAATCAGATGATAGGCAAAACGATAAAATATCATTCTCGAATCATGTTTCAATTGAATTATACAAAAGAAAAGATCGGCTTTCACAGAATTTACTCACCGTTAGCTGTTTTCACGTAAGCTACTGCTGAAAACGGAATTCAAGAAACAAAAACTCGTCTGTTTTAACACGAATAACATTCAGCATAAAATAATGCACACACACACACACACACCCACAAACACTTACACACACAAAAATACATCGAACAAAATAACAGAACGCCAAACGCGAGACGACCGTCGTCATTCTTACTGCACATCGCTTAAGGTTGTGCGTGTAACCATCAACGTCAACTGACGGTTTAAGTTTACGACGGCATGATACATACATACCAATATATGGCTTCGCAATTAATTACTACCATATCGAGCAGAGCATCAGGAACGTCACTGATGCCGCTTTACGTCTCGTATTTGCGAATTTTTGAGAGGTTTCGGTGGTTTGAGCTGTTCAAAACATACAAGCGAATGTCGTCGTGAACGCGAATTCGATGTGTGAAACTCGGCTTCGGAACGTCTGAATCTCCACGACCAACGGCGCAGCACAGCATATATCGATCAAGAGAGAATCTTGACGTGAACAGACAATATTTCAATCGATATATCAATAATGGTCTATTTTAACAGCACGACCAAACACAAAATAAGTATGAGAATTCAATAAGTATGACACAAAAAAGTCACATGAACAAATTCAACGGAACTAAAAAAAATCCATACGAATACGGTATTTGTCAGCACATCACCGAAATTTTGCATCTGCATTCAAACAAAAATCTGCATTCGTTGTCATCGATTACGGCAAATCCTCAACTTTTTCCCCTGTCTGACAAACAGCTAATCTAACCTTTGGAAATTTGAAAAATCCTCGGCCCGAATGAAAGTCCAAGTTTTAATCCTTTTCAAGTTTTAGTTTCTCAGTTATTCAAATAAACCTTCACGTCTGCGTCAAAAATTACCACTTCGATTGGAGTTAACATATTGTGAATATTTGATACTGATCTGATCTGATCTGACAGACTAGTTATAGAATTCACATTGACGGATGTGACAAAATCTGTGCAAAAGAAAAACTAAGACATTTTAGCTGCTAAAAAGGATGTTCGATCACAGTTGTTCAAATTATATCCTTGACACAGTTTAAATCTTTTATGGATCAATGATCAGTGATCTTACTTCGAACACTTGATGACTTACTTGTGGCAAAGTATTGAGGAAGAATACAATCGGTTTTACAATTAGAGAAGCATTCTGATAAACACAATATTGGAGTGAAAGACATCCAAACGATAAGGAAACATACTTTTATAAACGTAATTATGGCTATTACTACTACTACTACCACTGTTATTATAACCAGTCGAAATCATCGCAGTAAAATAAAAATATCCCTTCCATTACAGCTTAGCATTATCATCTTCGAAACAAACAAGTGGTTTAAAACTATTCAGATACACGTTTGTAGAGAAACAATTTTGTTAAATTGATCAACGCAACAGATTAACGTTATATTTTATTGAACATTCAATGATTAACCGGGTTATTGTAAGTAGAATTCAAAAATGTCCTTAACCAAATGTAGATGCGGCCATCGAAACATCCTGATCAAAATTTCGACCGTAGAGCAATCCGAGCACGTTCGACGGCAAAGAACACAACCTCCCATTCCATAGGCGACAAACTGGGCACGAATATACCTGCAATGATGATTCTGTCTTAGTGAATCGATAGGTTTTTAATGGTTCAAAAAACCAGCACTACAGCACATATTCACGGCAGACTACAAGTTCTTATCCATGACAGTGCCGACGATTTCCAAACATAAAAAGGATTCTGTATCTGTGCTCAAAGCACTGTTTCAAGTCAAGGCTCGACCTGATCCCGAGATTCAAACTACTTCAAATGACCTGACAAGTTTTATTTTCAGCTTTTAGCCTATCATACTGACTTTATTTTCGAACAATAGGTTACCACATTAATTGCGCACTTCACTTCTTTTATTTCGGAAAACCAGTGGCAAAACAATCATGAAAATATAGTCACATCCAACACTTTAATTTACATGAATCTCAAGGTATATCCTTAGTAAAATTGCTCTTTTGCTTGAACCTTCAGATCAAAACTCTTATTCCCAACTAACTAGAAGTCATCTCGGAATGTTTCTGTACATTTTGTTACATGCGCGATGAGCTGCCACAACTAAACGCGCCAATTGTTAACCATGTGGCAAAGATAGCATTGGCAAGTTATTCTTACAAAGTTAAATTATTTGTCTATACCTCTAGAGTGAGGCAATGGTAGATTTGATGTTCCATTGAGTTTTAGTGTAATGAACAGTGTTAAGGAGTGAAAGTCCTTATTGTTATGATAGCTGTTGGTGCTGTTGTATAATTTGACTATTTTATAGAAGTCATTTTGTACACAGTAGCGATGTGGTTCATGTTAATGTGCTTGTTATAAATCATATTGTATTCATATTGCGATTGTTTTAGTCAATGATTCTATAATTATGTGAGTCTGAGTACATAGATTAATAGATACATTCAATAGTCTTCCAGTAAATAATAGCACAATCAACAGAAAACTTCATAGATAATACAAGAATTGATAAGGATATGCATATTAATGAATCAGTAATTTAACTGTTTTCAGACTATGAGATCGGGAAGGTGCTCTC